TGGATGAGTGCTGAGGGAACAGGGGTGGTGGTGATAGAGACTGAGGTGAAGACACCCCAAAAAGATCCCCTTAGGAACCAGAAGACAAGACCAGGGGATGGTGGAGACCCTCCAAAGGACAGATTATCCAGGGAATGGTGGCCTCCAGAGGACACTGTCCAGGGCATGGTGGAAACCCTCAAAGACAGACTAGTAGAAAAATCTAAAATGTCAACTCCACTCATTGGATTCAAAGAGAAAAAATCCAAGGAATCCACTACCCTACAGGTAGGGAAAAGTGTTTGATAAAATCCAAGGCTCGTTCTAGATAGAATCTGTGAGCCCAGGAGGAATACAGAGGAAGCTCTATCCAGATGATGGACACCAAACAGAGTAAAAGCCTTTCTCAGCAGTGAGCTGTCAGCAGCTTTCCCTTTACAGTCAGACAAGGCAGCACTGCGTGTGCTCACCCGTCATTCGTCATTGTTCTGGCTACCCTAACTGGTGACAAGAGGAGGAAGTGAGAGGGAACGAGAGAATACGTGAGGTCTCTGCAGTAGCAAAAACCAAACAGTGAACCAATGAAGGAGTTTTTCTATTGCTTTTCAAGGAGAGGAGCGAATGGGGATGGGGAGAAAAGTGCAACAATGAATAAATGGAATTCCAAAATCTCTGTAGATGTTCATTGAAATAAAAAAAATTAAAAAAAAATCCTTTCTACTTAAAAAGGTGGGTGGGGAAAAGATCTCTATTTGGAAGATCCAGGTTTGATTCCTGGATGAGACATATCTCACATGAAGCCTCCGTTATCAGTATGCCCAGCTCAACCTCCTGAATGAGACCTGGACGTCTGTATAACTTTTGTCCTTTCTCCGGGTTCATAGGCAAGCTGTTTTGGAAGTGGATGCCACTCCTGCTTCCATGCTTGTTTTAGTTGGAGAGCTCCACCAAACACTGTCCACCGTGGGTGACCATTCTCGCATTTGACACGTCAGTGTCACAGTGTTCGGCTTCACAGCGACCACGAGTTACCTCTGTACAGCAAGTGGACACACCAGGGTTATACGACCTAGAAAAATATACTCACACAAAAGTCTAGGAATAAAAATCATGGAAATATTTTGCCTTTATTCAATGGGATCACAAGAAATATTTTCTTCTTTTTGAATACTTTTGTCTTTTCTAGTTTTTCTGTTATGAATTTATAGTCTCACTTGTTGTTGAGTCAAAACAACCTCTCAACTGGCCCTCCAGTGGCTCCTGTAAGGCTGCAAGTGACCAGGGAGGAGGCTGCCCACGCTCCTTTCACAGAGCTGCCTCTGGTGGATTTGAACCAACAGAGAAGGGCCACGTACGGGTTAGCGGTGCAGTGCCCTATGAACTCGGCTGGCAGAGCTCCCTGAATTTACATCACCTGTAGACATAAACGGCAATAACCTTCCCTTTTAGTTACATGCGTTTACCTTCTTCATCGAGGCTGCTGAAACTCTGCCCTTCCGTCAGCAGGTCTCGCTTCTCGTCCTTCCACTCCTGGCTCATGGAGGAGACGATCTCCTGCGAGGCCGCCTTCAGGGCAGCGATGGAATTGCACCGCTTTTTAGAGGGTGAGGCCTTCACAGCTGGACAAGGACAAAGGACAGAAGGACACTCTTACTGTACAACCAAGCGCACACTTTGTTCTGGTGCGAACACACAGGTATTCAGTATACAGCACGCTGTCAATTTCTACACGGAGAACCTAATGGCACCACTGACACCCCTCAGGTTACACAGACAGTCTCACCATCACTGTCTAAGTTATTCCTTCACCACGGCATCAGCCCCACTGCCCGCTAACGTTCTCATCCAACCTCTGAGTGTCTGCAGTCAATTTGTTCTCAGGCAGGTAATTCTTTAAAAGTTCCAGTGCTCTTTAAAATTAATAATAATAATAATAATAGTTTAAAAAAAGTATTGGGGGGAAAAGTGTCCAGTGCTCCATGCAGATAGATGTACTTGTTAAGATAACGTCATGACTTCCAAAGAAACAAACAGATTTGTCTTGGAGCACATGCAGCTGAGGTACTCCTTAGAAATCACACCCTGGGGACACGTTGTCATGAAGGCCAGTTCTTAGGGAAGGACATTGTGCTTGGCAAGGGGGTCAGTGGAGAGGAAGCCCACGGTTAAAGCTGGTGAGAACGGGGCAGAGTCAGGCAAGGCTTCTGTGTGTCGTATGCAGGGTTTATATGAGTAAGAGCTGACTCAGTGGTACTCAATGACGATGTTTGGTTCAAAGAAGATTTCAGGGGATAGCTTTGCTTTAAAGTAAAAATTTTAAAGATTATCTCAGTCCAAAGTCATTAGGGTTCATCCAGTTCAATGGCTCCAAAAAGCCTGGATTCTAATTACGCTCTGAAATTTTTTTCTGCATTTTCCCCCTTTTGATTAGAATTTGTCTAAAGTATCTGTGATCAAAATAATCAGCCCACATTCACAGTTTATTGATGAAGTTAATTTTTAATTAACTTTTTGGTCATTATTTAAATAGACTTCAAGAAACTTTGTATTTCTGGAAGAATAAAGTACAAATGGCCATTGAGCTGAGCCTGGCTCATGACAACTTCAAGCAGAACTGTGCTTGATAGACTTTTTATGGTGGACTTTTTTGAAGCAGATGGCCAGGGCTTCCTTCTGAGGCACCTCTGGGTGGACTCAAACCTCCAGCCCTTCTCCTGGCAGCTGACCACTCAACCATCTGCATTACTCAAGGACTCCCCATGTGAGGAAAGGGGCCACAGTGCTTGTGTTGTACTTTTATTTCACTCACAGAGGCTGGACTTTCATTGGAATATCTTAGGATAAACCAGAGTAGAAACACATGCTTTGGTGATTTTGAAATAAAGCCTCATTTGAGGTGAAACACAAACGTTCTGTGAACAAAGGGCCAGTTTTCCTTCTCAAATGGTGTTTATCCAGGGGTGGGAGGAGAGTGGGCAGACAGGAAACTCGGACGGCCGAGTACAGAGAATTCTCATGACCCCAAGTTTTATTAGTGTGGCCTGGGACTTTCTGAGCATGCCAATGTTTAATCTGATGTCTACGCTTCCCAATTTAGCCAAACTGCTGCTGGCTGGTTTTCCCACTGAAAACCTCTTTACTACCCCCCGCCCCGCTGGGTCTTTTCCAGGTCAGGGTCTGCTGGGCGTCTAATTTACTCCTGATTATTGTCTAAAGAGTACACACACACACACACACACACACACACACACACACACTCTCTCTCCCCCCACCCCCGCCTCTGGGAAACACAAAGCTCAGTTCTTGATCTTTCAAAGATGCATACAGCACACAGTAGTCAGGGCAGTATAAACAGACTAGAACATGAAGAAAACGTCATTAACAAACTTACCATGGATTTTCTTGAAAACTCTAGAATTCATAAACTTAAGAAATCTGTCTGCATAAAAACTTGGTCTGTGGACGGAGACCGTGTCCTGAAAAGACAAAGCAAGTCCAGCATCGGAAAGTGCTCACAGCCACCAACAGAGGCAGCTCTCTGTGCTCCAGTGGCCTTAACCGGCAGTGACAGCATCCAGCGCCAGAGGAGGACAAAGCCCAGGCCCCATGGGTTCAGGAGTGAGGCCGGGGTCACTGAGCACACGCTCGATCTGAGCTGAGCTGCTAGACACCCAGTGGCTGTAGAACCTTGAAGGGGCAGGGAGGGACAGCTGGAGGCTGACCACACACAACGACAGTCCAGGTCCTCAGCCCTCGAGGGGCGCATTCCTGCAAGCGGTCACCTGCCTATCAATGCTGTTTTGAGTGTCGGCCGGCAGATCCCAACAGGGAAGCTTGTGAAGTGTAAGAGTAGACACTGCAAGTGTCTGCCGTCAATACGGAGAGACAGCCACGGCTGGTTCTGGGGCGGTGTGTGGCCAGGACGAGCCGGGCCTTAGCTCTCCATCTGTGAGAAGAGCATGGCACCCGGGCCACCCTCGGAGCCCAGAGCTAGAATTATGTGATTATTAATCACAGTATCGATTGTTGTGGTGGTGTAACCATCAAGTAGCTGACCCTCTGGTGGGTTTTCAGAGGCATTTAGTCACATGGGAGGAGATCGCCCGTCCTTCTCTCACGGAACAGCCGGTGGACTCGAACCGCGTGCCTTCGGGGATCGCAGCACAGCTTCTTGCCACTAAGCCACCAGACACCATCTTTAATTATGTAATGCGCATACTGTGAGTGACGCCATCAGCAAGAATCCTCTTTGGCCAGGCTGTAATGGTCTCTGGGCTCCCAGGGCGAGGATCAGATCAGGGTTAGAGGAAACAGAACCAGGACAGCCAGACTTGCTTACGCTGGGCCCACCAATATCTAGAGCAGGCATCACGCTTGATAACGTTGAGGGTGAGAGGTGATGGGGAACCTGTGTGAGAGGTGAGAGGCCACAGCGGCAGCAGCAACGGGGGTGAGCACAGCAGTGGTGGGGAACAGTGCAGGCCACGGCTTCTCTGCTGCAGACAGGGACACAGTGAGTCAGGACAAATCCAACGACACCTCGTAAGACTCCCACTGAGGCTCAGAGGCGAGGGCAGCTCGGCCCGGGGCTCAGGAGTGCTCGCCTCGGATCCTGGAAGGCCCTGTCTGGAGTGGACACGTTTTCACAGCTAGTGCAGTCAGTCAAGCTCATTGCCACCGAGCCAGAGCCGATGCACAGCTGACCCTCCAGTGGGTTGTCAGATGCTGTGACCACATGGGAGGACTGTCCATCTTCTCCCTCTGAGCTGCTGGGCATTCCAGCACAACGCCCCATGGACTGAGCCACCAGAGCAGACAGTCAGCTGCTGTCAGGACGCCAGGGCCAGAGCGGAGCTCACTGGCCAGGCCCACTCAGCCGCGGCCTGCACAGCGCTGTTCTTCATACACCGGGAAAGGCTTTAAACAGGCACTTTGTACACAAATCAGTCTTAATTACTGCCGACACATTGACAGCGTGCAATCGGTACAGAGACGTTTCCAAAACAGAACACCGTCAGAAGCTGGAGAACATGTGTCCCAGACAACGCCGGGGTCCCACAGCTCCTGCCTCGTAGAGGACCGGGCCACTGAGGGCTGCTGCATCAGGAGGCGGGAGGCGTTCCCGGCAGTGCAGGGATATGCACGTGCCTGTTAACTGAAGGGTTGGAGGTTCAAACTCGCCAGCTGCTGCTCAGGAGAAACACGAAGTGGTTTGCTTTGTTGTTTTTTTTTAAAAAGTATAATTTCCACTTTATTTTCAGATGAGTGTTTTCTTCAGCATTTAAGGAATGAAATCCCTACATGGCCTTTGGGGGTGGTCGTGGGGCAGCACCTGCAGATCGAAATCCGGGTGGAGGGGTTCAGTCCTCATGGGCTTCACGAGACCGGTTCCTCAGCACGTTGCTGTGGGCGGCACAGCTCACACGGCGCGCGGTTCCACATCGAGCTTTGGAGGCACATGTGTCGAAGACACTCGCTTCGGACACGTCCCCGACCGCAGCTGCCTCTACTGTGTTTCTAACCGCGAATTTCTTCATCGCTGTGTCTTTTGGCAGCGGGCGCAGTTCGTGCAGCGTGGAGGCTGCATGTGGCCCCAGTCCTTTTCGGACAACCATTGTTTCTCCTTTTCTTTGTCATGTTGGAAGCGAGGGCCGAGGGTGGAGAGAGGGGGTTTGCTTCCTTGAAGAGATGTAGCCTTGGGGACCGGGTGGGACGATCCTCTCCCTGCAGGGTCGCTCTCGGCTGAGGACAGTGGGTTGGGGTTTGATGTTGTAAATGGTTAGTGTAGCCTGGTGAGCGAGGAGGGTGGTTTGATTCTGCCCAGATGCACCTGGAATAAAGGCCTGGTGTCTGTCTCTGAAGACTCGGCCACCGGCGGTCCCGTGGTGCTTGTGTCTACTCTGAGAGTCAGCTCCGGACAGCGGCTCGCAGGACTTTGGTGGCTTCTACGCTGGCCGTGGTAGAGCTGCGTCCTGACGGTGGACCCAGCTTTCTCAGCTGGAAGGGAACCCAAGGCAGCTCAGGTTCTGACCATCTCGTTCAGGAAGCTCGCTGGCCTGGAGGGAGCAGCCGTGGGGAACCCTCGGGTCCGAGAGCCTGGTGTTCAAAGGGGCGTCTGACCAGTGGCCCTCGGCCTGTGGGCCACACGCAGGCCATCTGTGCCGGAAGGTGCGTCCACAGACACCCACAGGATGGAGACGCATGTTCTTCTCCAGAAAGACTCTTCATGGCTCAGGGAGAAACTGCGTCCAGTTTAAAAAGGTACCTTCTTTGAAAAAGCCGCTTTTTGAGTTATTAACTGAGAAAGCATCCGGCCGACCCATGTTCTGTCCGCAGCTGAGCCTTCTTGGTGGTCTAGGGTTAGCATTAGGCGCTTTCACTGCTGAGGTTTGGGTTCGATTCCCCGCCAGGGAAGCCTTTCTTCTTCCTCTCACCTGCCACACATGCTTGCCAACTCCACACCTGTACACCTCTCAAGAGCTCGGGGGCATGGTGGTAAGAAGCTGCGCTGCAATCCCAAAGGCATGCGGTTCAAATCCATCAGCTGCTCTGTGGGGATGATCAGTCTTCTTCCATGAGATTTACTGTCTCTGAAAATTCACTGGACGGTCAGCTATGGGTTGGTTCCAACTCGATGGCACATAGCAACAGCCAGAAGTTCAGATCTAAGAGCCAGATGAAGGGGGTGTGTGTGTGTGTGTGTGTGTGTGAGCATGTGTATGTGAGACACACACACAGAGCCTGCTCCCTGAGGACTGCTCTCTCACGTCTGTTCATCATCTCTGCTGTGACAAGACCCTGAGTCAGCCGTCACCACCAGGAAGAGAGACCCAGTTGTCAAGCGGACCCTGCCTCACGGTCCCCCACATCTGCCAGAGCGGAACTGCCGTCCACGTGGTTGTCAGAGTGGCCAGTGGAAGTGGAGGACTTGACCTTGGACCTTCAGTTAGCAATGAGTGCACTAATCTTGTGCTGGTGCTGGGTACTGTCCAGTGCATTCATTTGGACTCACACGGGCCCATCTGACACAGGAGAGCTGCCCCAGGGGGCTTCCTGTGCTGTCACCTTTATAGGAACAGATCCTAGTCTTCTATCCTCATGGAACAGCCGGTGGGTTTGAACCACTGACCTTTCAGTTTGCAGTCAAGTGTCTAAGCTTTGCATCACCACTCATGGCTAAGCCCCATATTACCACTGAGTGGACTGTGACTTACAGAGACCCAGCAGGACAGAGCCAAATGGCTCGTTGGGTTTCAGAAGTCCGCTGAGTGTGTAAAAGCAGCAAGAAAAGGCTTGAAGTGTCAGAATGACCAAAATGGGATGTAAGGACAAGAAATGAGTGCATGTTGCTAGAAAAAAGGGCACCAAGAGGCTTGTTCAGTGCAGAGGAGCCACAACCTCCACTTTGTAAAACGCCTGACATCTGAGAAGCATAAGAAAGGCCAGTGGCGCAAGCGTGAGGGTGCGTGTGGCAGCGTAACAGGGACCGGAAAGGGGCTCACCCCATCATAAACCAGCGCCTTCCAGGAGTGCTCCAGCTTCTTCATCAACCTGGAGGGAAGGGAGGAGAGAGGCGTGAGAAGACAGAAGAGCTCCCGTTCGGTCAACTTTAGCATCTCGCAGTGATTCATTTGGAAGTCACAGACGGCCAGCCATCACCAGGCCTCACCTGTACGACTGGAGGATGTCAATGATGCCCAGAAATAAAAGCAGCTTCTCTCCTTTATGGCTTTTAGCTGGGATGCCGCCCATCCTGTTGATAGAGTGAGAGGACACCTCTCGTCAGACACCGCAGGGAGCAGGTGAGCTGGACTGCTGTGACTCGGCTTCCAGCCAAACAACAGACAAACTCAACAACCTGGGTGCAACACCAGCAGAGAAACCCTCACTCCTCAGAACAGTCCGTCACCCACGAGCCCATGGCAGTACGTGCCCAGGGAGAAAGTGCAGGAGGACAGAGGGACGAAGGGAGGTGAGAACCACAAGGATCGAGTGGGAACAGTGCTGTGATACGTGACGACTGAAAGGAAGTCTACAGAAATGACTGAGTGGAAAACCAGTTTTCCCGCAACCTTTCACTCAAACACAATAAAAAAGGAATTTTGGTGGTGTTTGGTTTTTGGTTTCCCTCTACAAGTCTTCCCGGGGACCCAGAATGGAGGACTTCCCGTGGAAAGGAGGCTGTATCGCAGCTCAGAAGTCTCAGAGTTGGGCAGAAAAATCATTTTAATCCTTACTAATATTTTAAAAGCAGAAGTAAGACCTTCAACACCTTTTAAAATAAAATACAATACTTTTTTATGATCAAAGTAATATATATTCATTGTGGTCAATTTTTAATATAACATAGAGAAGCAGAGAAAAGGTTGTACATAAAAAAAATCTATTTCTAGGGTGTGAAGAGAACAGCTACTACCAACTTTGGGGACACCATTCCTGCGCGTGCGCTTGTGTGTGTGTGCAAGCACACACACAGCACAAACACACATACACATATATACACAGCACACACACACAGCACACACACAGCACAAGCACACACAGCACACACACACACAGCACACACACAGCACACACACAGCACAAGCACACACATTTATATGGAAGGGATCACTTTATTTATCACGCTTTGCAGCCTGACAAGCATCTCCTCAAATCAATGCGGCTCTGAGTTTTGCATGCCGCGGTATTTCCTGCTTTCATGTAGAATTCTCAGTCTGAACGACTGCTGAGTACTGAGATGCATTCACAAGCACGGATGTCAGAAGTGGCTAGTGATGTGCTGGCCCCTTTCACAGCAGGACAATAGTCATGCTGGAGACTTCAGGAAGCCAGGCACTTGCGGCTGAGGGGACTCTCCTTTTCTGTCTCCCTGCTCAGTTAGGGCGCTGTGCGATGCTGTCACCTCCTCTCAGCGATCCTTTGGCTGAGACTTTCTGCTGGTCGGTCAGCAGGCACTTTGAACACATAAACTAACCCTGAAGTTCTGGCCACACCTGGTTAAGGGAAGAGACAGGCCTGCCGAGGTGCAGGATGGAACCCAGGGCCTCCCAGCTCCGGCTCTAAATGGAATTCCTACTGTGCATTTGGTTAAAAACATGTTTCTTCCCACTCAAAGCTCTTGCTTCCTTCTCGTGTGCACGTCATGGAGATGTAGTAAGTAGGAGTCAAAATCAAACCAATCGAAACAAAAACCAATTTCAGCCACTGTTGGAAAATGGAGCCACAAATGGAAAATGCTGGCAAACAGAAACAAATTTCAGGGTGAGAGGGACAAGAAAAGCCTCAGGACACTGCCACGTGTGCCATCCTGCAGATGAAGAGGCAGGGAGGCTGTCCTGTCCACCATCCTGCCGGCAGGGAACGCGTTCCACAGGGTCCCGTGAAGCACAGCTGACAGCACGGTGATACACACAGCTTGTCTCACGGTGAAACACAGCTGGTCATACAGTAAAGTGCACAGCTGGCCGCACGGTGATGCGGCTGCCTCATTCAGGGGCGAGGCCATGGAGGCTCACTCACGTGTCCGGGTTCTCCGTGATGAGCCCATCTCCCGATTTCCCAGAACCCTGGATGGACTCCATGGCCGTTGAGTAGAGGACCTTCTGCACCCCTGGCCGCTTGGGGTCCGGCATGTTTGGGGAGGCGTCCTCCTCCTTGTCCTTGAGGGAATGGTCCAGGACGTGGATCCCCAGCAGAAGGCTGTAGTCCATGATCTTGAAGCTCTCCAGGACCTGAACAAGAAGAGCAGGGGAGCCCCGTCAATCCAGACTGCCCCCAGGCCTGTCTGCATGGACTGGACGGTCCTGTTCAGCCCTGGGCGGCCCCATCAGTCAGCGGCCAGCGGGAGGACACGGGGACAGGCACGTACACACATGGGAGGTTATTAACCCAATGTGCCTCTCTGAACTCCCCACGAGTTTTCCCACTAAGTATTTATTGATCCCTTTATTTGACAGCAAACAGAAGGTCAATGGTTCAAACCCACCAGCTGCTCCACAGGGTGCAGGCAGCTTCATGAAAATGACAGATGTGGAGACCCGATGGGGCAGGCCTACTTTGTCCCAGAGGCCCTCTGGGGGTCAGAGCCGACTGGTCAGAACACGGCAGTGGGTGTCCATGTGTGTTCTAGGCACCAAGGGGCTCATGTGCATTCAACGTCCAAGAGATCAGGTTGAACAAGGGGCCTCTCTGCCTTCTTGTCTCAGATCTCGTACAACAAACATGAGCCCCTTCTGTGGTCTCTTTACACACCAGCCCACCATCATCGAGCCGATGCCTCACGGAGACTCCTCGCTGACCTTCCGAGGCTGCGAGCCTCCGAGCCTTTACAGGGGGAGGCTGAGCGAGCGTCCCAGGGGAGGGGCCGGCTGACAGCCTGACGCGTTACCCACACCACCAACTCCTCCGCCTCATCGGTGACAGGGCTTTCCACCTTTTCGTTGGTAATTTCAGTAGTTAAAACGTCCCAAGAGAAACCTGTCCTAATGTGCTGTCTGGTGTCAATGGTCCAGCCCAGGACAGAATGGAACCCTCCTGGTCCCAAGACAGGCAGCATCCAGTGCTGTGCACACACATAGGCACCCACACCCTCACACACACAAACACGGCTATTGTTAGGTGCGGTCCTGCACCCTCACGACCACCACCTAGCTTGGCCCCACTGCTGCAGCCCCGTGTCAGTCTCAGGTTCTGTCCCTGGAGAGTCATTTCCTTGGTCCCTGACCCTTTACCTGGTCAAGCATTGCGTTCTTTGCCAGGAACTAGCCCATCCTGATTCCATGTCTATAGCACGTGAGATAAGGTCTCTCCACCCCGTGCGCACGCGCGCACGCACACACACACACACACACACACACACACACACACACACACACACACATCTATTTTTGGTGGCAGTGTATATAAACACACACAGGCTCCGTGAAGAGTTCAAAAGCACTGGGGACCTCAGCACACCGCAGCCCCATTCTCTGCAACCACACCTTTATCTGCACCAATCTAGGCTCTCTGCACCTTGAAGTTCTCTTCTGGGCCTTAGATGAGCCAACATCCTATGTTAACACAGCTCACTCCCTGTGAGAGTCCTATGCTTCAGGCAAACATCCCCCCCCCACCCCCAACTGAATTAAACCGTTGTTGAATTTAATGGCAGTTTCACGGACTAGATTCCATTCAAGGTTTAAATGGTTTTTTTTTTCTTATTCCAGGGCTGCCCAGGTCTGTTCTCACATTTCCCATGTACTGCAATGGTGGCCCACTGGGTAGGGAGTTGCACTACCAACCCAAGGGTGACTGGTTTGAATCCACCAGTTTTTCTGAGGGGGAAAATACGGAAATCTCTTCCCAAGTGATTTGTAACCTTTAACAACCCCCTGGAGGGTCAACTATGAGGTGGTTCTCAACCAGTGACTCACCAACAATGAGGGTTTTAAAGTCCAATCAACCTGGGAGGCTAGTCTCTGGAGGATATCATATTTGGGAAGTGGAGGGTCAGAGGAAAAGAGGAAGGCCCTCAATGAGACATAAATCCAGGATGGAAGCTGCAACAGTGGGCTCAAACACAGCCCCAGGGGTGAGGATGGAGCAGGCCAGGGGACTACTTGTCCTCTTATACGTAGGAGAACAGATTGTCGCTCGGAGCTGAACTGATGTGACAGCGTTGGAGAAAAACATCAGGAAGGTGGGGGGATGGAGAAGAAGACCCTCAACCAGATGGACTGGCATGGTGACCGCACCAATAGCCTTGAACGGGTCAGAGATTGTGAGGATGACGCAGGATAGGACACGGCTCACATCTGCTGTTCATAGGGTCCCTGTGAGCTGTAATCAACTTGAATACACCTAACAACATCAACAACAACAATAACAGCAACAGCAGCATCACTCTTGCAGTCTGGTCTCTCAGGCTTTTTAATGCCCAAAAATAAGCCAGAGAGAGTCTGGTGTTTGCTGAAAGACAAGGAAATCAGGCTGTGGCCCAGCTCTCAGCACTGATGAAGTCAGAGACACTGATAAAGTGAGACGTCTGGCAGGGTCAAGTCCCACTCCTTTTTTGTTTTTGTTTTATTAACCATTAAGAACAGACTGAAGTAAGAAAATGTTGTAAATGAAATGTCTGGAGAGGTCTGGCCTCCACACACTGCTGGTCTGGACAGTCTCCACCCTCAGAGTGACCTGTAGGGACCTGCGTCCACTTTCAGAGTGGATGACTTAAAAAGAAAACTTCTTCCCCCTGGACGGACGGCCAACACCCACAGTCGGGCTTTTGGTTAGGCGAAGGTGCTCAACATTAGCTGAAAGACAGAGAGAGACAGAGACAGAAAGAAAGTCAAGGAACAAGGGGACTTCATATGCATATATTTAAGTCGGATTTAAAAATTTTCTTCCATGAAATATTTCAGGAACAGATTTGAGCTACGTGCATTGACAAGGGATTAAAATAGCAGTTACACGCATCTGTCCATCCTTGGATGAATGGATGGATAAATCTGCAAGAAATGACGTCTGTGAGCCTAGAGTGTGTCTGGTGTCTCTCGCTGTGACAGTCATCAGCGCTCCCCCCCCACGCAGCCACACCTGTTTCCGGAAGGCCAGTCTCGTCTCTCCAGCAGCCTTTGTGCCTGGGCATTTTGCTATTCAAAACCTAGGCTGCAATGCAAACTCAGGTGGCTCTCCACCTGGTGTGGGCATGTCTTTGCTCCTCCACGTGTATGAAAAGAACAGGCCGAATGACAACTGCAGCCAGAAGCAGGCTGGAAGATGGGGATGCTTTGTTTTCAGCAGAGCAGATATTCTATCCCTTCTCTCTTAATGGCTATTTAAAGGCAAAGCTAGTGTGGGAGTCCAGTGCAATATCAATGTGTCAATGACACCGCGAGGAACGGTCCCACAGACAGAACCTACCAGAGCGCTGCCAGGAAATCACCGCAGAGCCTCGGGATGCTCCTGGCAGGTGTCATACGCACAAGGTTCGACAGAATGGGCAGTATAGTGTCTCAGGACCATGCTGTGTTGTTTGCTGCCACATCCCATTGCCCCCATCCATGGAGACCCATCATATCCCTCGCATCCATCCACGGAGACTCCATCCGCATTCATTCATGGAGAACCCGCCCACATTCATGAAGCCCCATCCTTACCCATCTAGACTCATCCACCTCCACGGACACCCCATCCATCCATTTATGGAGATTCACCCCACATCCACAGAGGCTCTGCCTTCACTCAGCTATGGAGATGCCATCCACACTCACGGATGGAGACTCCAAACACATCCATGGAGACCCTGTTCAGTTTCATCCTTGGAAACTTTATCTACATTCATGGAGACTACATTTCCATTGAAATGGACCCATCTACACCCATGACGACCAAATATACATCAATCTATGTAGACCCCTCCACATCTGTGGAGACCCCATCCACACCTATCTACTGAGACTCTACTCATCGAGACCCCAGCCTCGCCTCACACATGGAGGCCTCATCCACATATATGGAGACACCACCCCACTCATCCATACAGATCCCACCTACACTAATCCATGGAGATGACACTGCATCTGTGGAGATCTCGTCCACACCCATTTATGCAGATCTACCTTCATCCATGGAGACCCCATCCACACCCAGGAAGATCCCATGCAGACCCAAGGAGACTCCATCCACATCTTAAGGAGATCCATTCACATCTCGTGGATACCCTGCCCACATCTCGGGAAGCCTCCATCCTTATCTGAGAGAGATTTCACTGCCATCCATGGAAATTCCATCCACATCCAGGCGGACCTCATCCAAACCCACGAAGATCTAATCCACTCATAGGGAGATGCCATCTATATCACGGAGCCCCCCATCCATGTGTCATGGAGCCCCGGCCCACATCTCGTGGAGCCCTGGTCAACGTCTCATGGAGCCCCTGCCCATGTCTCATGAAGATCTTGTCCACACCCACAGAGATCTCCCTGAGTCAGAATGAACCCATTGCCCACCCTCCAGTGGGCTCTCTGAGGTTGCAAATCACGTGGGAGGAGACTGCTCATCTTTCTTCGGATGAGCTGCCGGTGGATTTGAACTGCCCACCTTTGAGTTGGCAGCACAACTCCTCCTTTTCATGACTTTTCATGAAAACCCTAATGAGACGTCCCACTCTGTATCACGCGGGGTTGACATGAGTTTGAATGGGCTGAATGGCAAGGGGTTTGGTTTTGGTTTTATAGTCCTGTGGGTTGTTTTTTTTTAAGAATAAATGATGGACCAAAACATCTGTGCCTATCAAACAATATAAGACAATTCAAAATAGTACATTCAAAATAGTAACCTGGAGAGTTCATGCAAATCAGTGCACCAGACACACTGACTTAGGGAAGAGAGATTCTTAGAATCAGCCCTGGCTCCAGCCCTAGTCATGCACGCTGTGTTCAAGCTGAACACTGACCTTCGGATCTGATTTAGAACCTTCAGTACTGCCTGGAGGGTTCTTAGCTAATGTGATGAAGAGAAAATTCTGGCTGTGGGCAGCCATCCAATGTTGGCTGGAAAAACAGAGGGAAATAAATATGCAATTATCATTCCAGTTATGATAATAATATGTGCGCCACTGTACGCATGTGAATGAGTCAGAGCTCCGGGCTGTGCGTTAACCTGGAGCAAGGCTTTGAGACACAAGACTCTGAACAGCAGAAAGACTAGGAGGTGCCCAGTCACCACCACTGACCGCTCTGACAGAAAC